AAAATGCGTAAGTTTAATATGTTTATCACCGCTATTTGTGTTTTATTCCTCGTTAAACTACGATGGCCCAAGAACAAAAGCCTTTATGATAAAGTTTTATTTTACCGTCTGAAAGACAGAGAAATTGTTAACAGCCGTAACAATAGCAAATAAATTAATGGGCTGATTACTTTAAATGTTAGTCTGTCTACATAGGCGAACCGTTAGAAAATATTGCGAAATTGATTAAGTCAGCGCGTCATATCATCTCCGAATTAATAAAGAAAAGCGCCCGAGAATTTCTTCATTGGCACTGAAGAGAATATGTTGAAGTATTTACATGAACAATGACCGAAACAAGACATTGAAAGTGTTGAGTATTCATCGCTTTCACGAGTATTCGATTTCTGAAAAAGTTAAATTTCAAGACCAGCGCTTCGTGTGTACGAAAATCCCCTTTTTGTGACGTCATGTATGCGTCAAAACCCGTATGTCCTCGGCAGCTGACGTCATACTCGCTACCAGACCGTACTCTGTCTAAAAGTACAGATATCCCAGAAAGCTTCGCGTCTTTTGTCACACCCTTTGATTTGTCATATAGTTGGTCGGTTTGCTGTGTCTATACTTCCATACTTGCTGCTTTCATCTTCGAAAAAAGAAACTTTTTATTTGGTGGTACAACGGGGGCGTTTTCCTCGTTCTGGAATCGCACTTCTGTGCGATGGGGTGTTTCGGAAACAACATTACCGATGAAGAGCAAGAAACGAATCGGAGACAGAGAAATACGAACAAAAAGATCGAGAAGCAACTAAGGGATGATAAAATTGCATACCGCGCGACCCATCGCCTTCTTCTACTGGGTAACAATTCTCGTCGTGTATGGCTGTATTAATGGGGTTTGAAGGTGGTTGATTTTGGTTTTGATCGAATGAGTAATGAGTCTTATTTCTAACCTCCAAGGGGCTGGAGAATCTGGAAAGAGCACGATCGTCAAACAGATGAGGATCTTACACGACGTACATGGCTTTACGGAGCAGTGAGTGTGTCCACCTATTCTGTCACAGTTGTTTAGCATACAAATTATTAGGAGTGAGGAAGGCAAGCGATCGCCGATCGAACAAGAATTATTCAGTATGGACGTCTTGTGTTAACCTGCGTCTTTGCTTCATTTCTCGTAGGGAAAAGAGGCAAAAAATAGAAGATATAAAGAAGAATATTAGAGATGCAATATTGGTAAGTAAGACTAGCCTATTTACAATCTACCACCCACATTTAGCTCGCGGTTCGTTGCGATTTCACATCTTTTTTCGATTCATTTCGCTTCTATATTTTTGTAAAATACCTAATTCTTGTTTTTTAGACCATAACAGGGGCTATGCCGACGCTAACTCCGCCGGTGAAGTTAGCCAACCCTAATAACCAGTTTAGAATCGACTACTTGCACGAAGTGGCCACGACGCCAGACTTCGACTATCCCCCGGTAAGGCCAGATGATATTTTGCTATAATCGTTATCTTTAGCATTTGAGTTTCCCTGTAAAAGAACGGTGAAGGCATCGAAAGTAAATCTCGCCAGATCAAGTTTTATACGAGCGGTTTCGCTCGTAGTTCAGTACACATTTCTAATTATGGAAACCAGAAGTTTGGGCAGAGGGCAGCAGAACGCTTTGAACAAACAAATGTGTTTTCGTCTTGTGCTGCCTTTCGTAGCCCGGATTTTTGTAACTTTTCGCTATTTTTATTTTGTAGGAGTTCTATGAACACACAAAAATCTTATGGCAAGACGCGGGTGTGCTCGAATGCTTTGAACGATCCAACGAGTACCAACTTATCGACTGTGCGCAATAGTGAGTATATTTATTATAACATCTTTGGGGCTTTTTTACATGGTCAAGACGTTGAAATACTCCATTATTGTGTCTTCTCGATGATATATGCGCTTCACAAGCGTGTTTTCTCGCTTCTTTTGGTAGAAAATACGCTTGCTGAGGTGTTTTTACAGCCTTAGTCGAGCGTTCAACGTAGCCATGGGGTTTTGGAAGATGGCAGTATGTTTACAAACTATAGCCCCGACAAAATGGCTGGAAAAGAATTATTATTCGTGGTCATAGCGCTTCTTTGATGTTATTTTCTGCTACTGATGAATATTCCCCTTCAATTCCGTGTGAGCATCTTCGCTAAGGATTATTTATTTTCTAGTGGTTTTCAGAAGCGATAAAATCGTGATTTTACGTTCGAAAACCTCTGTCACGCTGTTGTGAGAACCGTTGTAAGTATGAAGCCATATACGAACGAAGACTGTTTCCTTACTTAAGCTTGTGTTTTGTGTCCGGTACGGTTCGATATCGCATGGTTTTTATCCGTAATGGTTTTTGTGGCATTAAAACAGTTGGTAAACGGTTTCGTAGCTATTCTTGGTGCTCGGGCTGTCAAATGATAAACTACAGGATAATAAAGCTGAATAAAGGGATTTCTGATGGGATGTACTTCTGTACGCGAGGAAACATAGTGATTGCTATGCGAAATCTAGATAGAATGATACGTACGCTTACAGTTTTGCGAAATGCACTGCGCTAGCATTTTATCCTTGAGTTTGTAACACATATTCTGTAGGTTTCTGATGAAAAAACGCCGGTTTCTCCGACGTGAAACCGTGAACCATTTCCCAGCCAACTTTATTTTGTTTTGAATTGGTTTCCATGCAAAAGCTAAGACAGCTCAACGGTATATAGAGGCGAATTTTAATGCTCTAGATTCTGTTATTGATGTAAGAACCTATACTATTGCTGACCCGTGGGCTATTCAGCCTAGAAGTATGTCGGTGCTGAGCTAGCAAATGATCTTCGAACCGAAATATTTTTATGTTGATTTCTTCAATGGCTTCGGTATATAGCATTTCGAGCGGATCTTTGCATGCTGTGTCTATGATAATTGTAAAGATGGCGTGTTGAAACCGTGAAAATACTCTTACATTGTAAAAAATGTGATATTTAAAAATACAAGTTGAAGTGACCAGACAGGAAAAGAAGAATTTTTAACGAAAACGGATCACTGCCTTTAGGTAGGGTCACTCACGAATCCTATTTTTAGATGAAACACACAAAGTTAGGCATATTTTAGTGGATTTGCGTGGAATGAGCTCTGGCTTCCTAGCTGTATTTTTTGTTGCTAAGAATATGCAAGAAGCGTATTCTTGTTTTGCTGAATTCAAAGCAGTCACTCATTTGCAAGAGAAGAACATTGTAAGCCTTGTCAACTTACTTGCATGTAGACATCTGCATGTTTCAAGTTTTAGCATCATCCAGTTTTGTTCTTTTTGTTTAGAACTATAATTCTTTTGTGTTCAATGCTTCCCCCTTCCATAAACAGAAAAGTCTAGGTTTGAACATACCCAGTATATTTTTAGTGATATTTTGTGCAATGATAGAGATAGAATGCAAATGTACTAAACACTATTCTTGTCTGTGTGATAAAGTTTTATGCAGCATTTTCTGTAATGGTTGTTGCAAACTTTTGGTCGAAATCATGAATATTACTAAAATTTCCATTGCTGTAACATTAAGGTAGCTCAAACTTTTTTTGTTAGATAATTTTTCATAAAATTGAAAGTGCCAAGGGTTATTTTAGAGTTGACATGAAGATATTTTGTTTTATTTTTGGCAGTTTGCATGGTTGTTGCTTTTTTTTTTTCTTGTTAAAAATAACTCCTTCCTGATGAGGTTTCTCGGCAATATTTATTGATCAACATATTGTTTATACTTTGGATAGCAGTATATTTATTTACTTTTGTTTGTTTATTCATTTGTTTGCTCTTTATCTGCTAAACTTTGCCAAGGAAACTGCTTTGTGATTGTAGTTGTAAATTTGTATATTCACTAGATAAAACCTGGAGTTCTCCTAAGTAAAACTGTTACTGCTTTAAAAAGTATATTCATTGTGCCTTGTTGATTTTGATCTTGGTCTAGTTTTAGGTGCAAAGTTTAATATTTGTACTAAAAAGTAGTGAATTTATCTTTCTTTAGTTTTCAATTCATGAATGCACTTTAAGTGAAAATCTCTCTAGATCACAAGTAGATAGTAGTTTCTCCTGTACATTTGTTGCCTTTTGCAACTCTTGTATTTCGCTTTTGGTGGCTCTGCATCGTTCTGCCTTACTGTTTGAGGGGTAAGGAAATTCAAATTTATTTGCAAAGTCTGTTGCCAAGTCATTTATCTGGTCAAAAATTGCTTGAGTATCATCATTTGTCTTAGTGTAGTTTAGGGTACTGTCTGTTTTGTAATGTTATATTTGCAAGAAATTTCAGCTTTGGTTTGGGTGTTATACTATATCTGTTCAATCAATGCCGATTTTGTGAATTTTGATCAGCGCTCATACCATGTTTACTCAAGTGTAGTCTAATCTTGTAAGACATTGTAAGTAATTGAGACCTGGTGATTACTAAACAGTCGAGTATGTTCAAAAATTTTAACAGTTATCTTTTCTTTTTTGACTAGTGAATGCAAAGACATGATCAGTTTGTTGCAGAAAAAATTCACTAACTCTGAAAGTCAGTTTAAGGGTCATAAATATTTATGGTAATTCTGCTGACTGGTACATTCCGTGCATTATAGATGTTAAGTGGTAGTAGCCAGGCGATGTTTGCGTGACCATTGTCAACTTCGTGGCTGCCTCTTCGTGGCTGCCTCTTCGTGGCTGCCTCTTTGTGGCTACCTCTTCTGACTAATGTACTGAGAATCTCAAAAGTGATGAACTGATCTTTTGTGTTTGGTGATGAACAAGTGTGCCAAAATAAAGTCTGTGGTGTACTTCAAAGATGGGTGTTCAATTTGATCCATCAATAGGTTTGACAGCTCATTTTGAGTTGCGCAAAATTAAGAGCTATTTGGTATACAGACAACAAAGGTGGATGTTCAATTCATTTGATGGCTTTGAACCGAAACATTGCGTAAAAGGTAATTTGTGTGGTTTCACTGGTGCAATAGCATTTAAATGTTTGTGCTTGGTTTACACACTGCTTTACAATTTTGCTTGATGAAGTTAAGTTTATATTGTAAGACTTGATGGAATGGCTGCAAAAATTTATGCATGATGGAGAAATTTTTGCTCCTAAATTTTGAATTTTTTTTTATCATTTGAATAAAAGTTTAGCCTCTAAATTTTATTTGTCCATGTTTGTATGACTTCCTCTTCCTCGTTTTTGCTCTGGAAGAACATTCTGGATGCAGTATGTTTTGTGCCATAACAAAATTTACATACACATACAGCGACTGACNGATTACTTTAAATGTTAGTCTGTCTACATAGGCGAACCGTTAGAAAATATTGCGAAATTGATTAAGTCAGCGCGTCATATCATCTCCGAATTAATAAAGAAAAGCGCCCGAGAATTTCTTCATTGGCACTGAAGAGAATATGTTGAAGTATTTACATGAACAATGACCGAAACAAGACATTGAAAGTGTTGAGTATTCATCGCTTTCACGAGTATTCGATTTCTGAAAAAGTTAAATTTCAAGACCAGCGCTTCGTGTGTACGAAAATCCCCTTTTTGTGACGTCATGTATGCGTCAAAACCCGTATGTCCTCGGCAGCTGACGTCATACTCGCTACCAGACCGTACTCTGTCTAAAAGTACAGATATCCCAGAAAGCTTCGCGTCTTTTGTCACACCCTTTGATTTGTCATATAGTTGGTCGGTTTGCTGTGTCTATACTTCCATACTTGCTGCTTTCATCTTCGAAAAAAGAAACTTTTTATTTGGTGGTACAACGGGGGCGTTTTCCTCGTTCTGGAATCGCACTTCTGTGCGATGGGGTGTTTCGGAAACAACATTACCGATGAAGAGCAAGAAACGAATCGGAGACAGAGAAATACGAACAAAAAGATCGAGAAGCAACTAAGGGATGATAAAATTGCATACCGCGCGACCCATCGCCTTCTTCTACTGGGTAACAATTCTCGTCGTGTATGGCTGTATTAATGGGGTTTGAAGGTGGTTGATTTTGGTTTTGATCGAATGAGTAATGAGTCTTATTTCTAACCTCCAAGGGGCTGGAGAATCTGGAAAGAGCACGATCGTCAAACAGATGAGGATCTTACACGACGTACATGGCTTTACGGAGCAGTGAGTGTGTCCACCTATTCTGTCACAGTTGTTTAGCATACAAATTATTAGGAGTGAGGAAGGCAAGCGATCGCCGATCGAACAAGAATTATTCAGTATGGACGTCTTGTGTTAACCTGCGTCTTTGCTTCATTTCTCGTAGGGAAAAGAGGCAAAAAATAGAAGATATAAAGAAGAATATTAGAGATGCAATATTGGTAAGTAAGACTAGCCTATTTACAATCTACCACCCACATTTAGCTCGCGGTTCGTTGCGATTTCACATCTTTTTTCGATTCATTTCGCTTCTATATTTTTGTAAAATACCTAATTCTTGTTTTTTAGACCATAACAGGGGCTATGCCGACGCTAACTCCGCCGGTGAAGTTAGCCAACCCTAATAACCAGTTTAGAATCGACTACTTGCACGAAGTGGCCACGACGCCAGACTTCGACTATCCCCCGGTAAGGCCAGATGATATTTTGCTATAATCGTTATCTTTAGCATTTGAGTTTCCCTGTAAAAGAACGGTGAAGGCATCGAAAGTAAATCTCGCCAGATCAAGTTTTATACGAGCGGTTTCGCTCGTAGTTCAGTACACATTTCTAATTATGGAAACCAGAAGTTTGGGCAGAGGGCAGCAGAACGCTTTGAACAAACAAATGTGTTTTCGTCTTGTGCTGCCTTTCGTAGCCCGGATTTTTGTAACTTTTCGCTATTTTTATTTTGTAGGAGTTCTATGAACACACAAAAATCTTATGGCAAGACGCGGGTGTGCTCGAATGCTTTGAACGATCCAACGAGTACCAACTTATCGACTGTGCGCAATAGTGAGTATATTTATTATAACATCTTTGGGGCTTTTTTACATGGTCAAGACGTTGAAATACTCCATTATTGTGTCTTCTCGATGATATATGCGCTTCACAAGCGTGTTTTCTCGCTTCTTTTGGTAGAAAATACGCTTGCTGAGGTGTTTTTACAGCCTTAGTCGAGCGTTCAACGTAGCCATGGGGTTTTGGAAGATGGCAGTATGTTTACAAACTATAGCCCCGACAAAATGGCTGGAAAAGAATTATTATTCGTGGTCATAGCGCTTCTTTGATGTTATTTTCTGCTACTGATGAATATTCCCCTTCAATTCCGTGTGAGCATCTTCGCTAAGGATTATTTATTTTCTAGTGGTTTTCAGAAGCGATAAAATCGTGATTTTACGTTCGAAAACCTCTGTCACGCTGTTGTGAGAACCGTTGTAAGTATGAAGCCATATACGAACGAAGACTGTTTCCTTACTTAAGCTTGTGTTTTGTGTCCGGTACGGTTCGATATCGCATGGTTTTTATCCGTAATGGTTTTTGTGGCATTAAAACAGTTGGTAAACGGTTTCGTAGCTATTCTTGGTGCTCGGGCTGTCAAATGATAAACTACAGGATAATAAAGCTGAATAAAGGGATTTCTGATGGGATGTACTTCTGTACGCGAGGAAACATAGTGATTGCTATGCGAAATCTAGATAGAATGATACGTACGCTTACAGTTTTGCGAAATGCACTGCGCTAGCATTTTATCCTTGAGTTTGTAACACATATTCTGTAGGTTTCTGATGAAAAAACGCCGGTTTCTCCGACGTGAAACCGTGAACCATTTCCCAGCCAACTTTATTTTGTTTTGAATTGGTTTCCATGCAAAAGCTAAGACAGCTCAACGGTATATAGAGGCGAATTTTAATGCTCTAGATTCTGTTATTGATGTAAGAACCTATACTATTGCTGACCCGTGGGCTATTCAGCCTAGAAGTATGTCGGTGCTGAGCTAGCAAATGATCTTCGAACCGAAATATTTTTATGTTGATTTCTTCAATGGCTTCGGTATATAGCATTTCGAGCGGATCTTTGCATGCTGTGTCTATGATAATTGTAAAGATGGCGTGTTGAAACCGTGAAAATACTCTTACATTGTAAAAAATGTGATATTTAAAAATACAAGTTGAAGTGACCAGACAGGAAAAGAAGAATTTTTAACGAAAACGGATCACTGCCTTTAGGTAGGGTCACTCACGAATCCTATTTTTAGATGAAACACACAAAGTTAGGCATATTTTAGTGGATTTGCGTGGAATGAGCTCTGGCTTCCTAGCTGTATTTTTTGTTGCTAAGAATATGCAAGAAGCGTATTCTTGTTTTGCTGAATTCAAAGCAGTCACTCATTTGCAAGAGAAGAACATTGTAAGCCTTGTCAACTTACTTGCATGTAGACATCTGCATGTTTCAAGTTTTAGCATCATCCAGTTTTGTTCTTTTTGTTTAGAACTATAATTCTTTTGTGTTCAATGCTTCCCCCTTCCATAAACAGAAAAGTCTAGGTTTGAACATACCCAGTATATTTTTAGTGATATTTTGTGCAATGATAGAGATAGAATGCAAATGTACTAAACACTATTCTTGTCTGTGTGATAAAGTTTTATGCAGCATTTTCTGTAATGGTTGTTGCAAACTTTTGGTCGAAATCATGAATATTACTAAAATTTCCATTGCTGTAACATTAAGGTAGCTCAAACTTTTTTTGTTAGATAATTTTTCATAAAATTGAAAGTGCCAAGGGTTATTTTAGAGTTGACATGAAGATATTTTGTTTTATTTTTGGCAGTTTGCATGGTTGTTGCTTTTTTTTTTTCTTGTTAAAAATAACTCCTTCCTGATGAGGTTTCTCGGCAATATTTATTGATCAACATATTGTTTATACTTTGGATAGCAGTATATTTATTTACTTTTGTTTGTTTATTCATTTGTTTGCTCTTTATCTGCTAAACTTTGCCAAGGAAACTGCTTTGTGATTGTAGTTGTAAATTTGTATATTCACTAGATAAAACCTGGAGTTCTCCTAAGTAAAACTGTTACTGCTTTAAAAAGTATATTCATTGTGCCTTGTTGATTTTGATCTTGGTCTAGTTTTAGGTGCAAAGTTTAATATTTGTACTAAAAAGTAGTGAATTTATCTTTCTTTAGTTTTCAATTCATGAATGCACTTTAAGTGAAAATCTCTCTAGATCACAAGTAGATAGTAGTTTCTCCTGTACACTTGTTGCCTTTTGCAACTCTTGTATTTCGCTTTTGGTGGCTCTGCATCGTTCTGCCTTACTGTTTGAGGGGTAAGGAAATTCAAATTTATTTGCAAAGTCTGTTGCCAAGTCATTTATCTGGTCAAAAATTGCTTGAGTATCATCATTTGTCTTAGTGTAGTTTAGGGTACTGTCTGTTTTGTAATGTTATATTTGCAAGAAATTTCAGCTTTGGTTTGGGTGTTATACTATATCTGTTCAATCAATGCCGATTTTGTGAATTTTGATCAGCGCTCATACCATGTTTACTCAAGTGTAGTCTAATCTTGTAAGACATTGTAAGTAATTGAGACCTGGTGATTACTAAACAGTCGAGTATGTTCAAAAATTTTAACAGTTATCTTTTCTTTTTTGACTAGTGAATGCAAAGACATGATCAGTTTGTTGCAGAAAAAATTCACTAACTCTGAAAGTCAGTTTAAGGGTCATAAATATTTATGGTAATTCTGCTGACTGGTACATTCCGTGCATTATAGATGTTAAGTGGTAGTAGCCAGGCGATGTTTGCGTGACCATTGTCAACTTCGTGGCTGCCTCTTCGTGGCTGCCTCTTCGTGGCTGCCTCTTCGTGGCTACCTCTTCTGACTAATGTACTGAGAATCTCAAAAGTGATGAACTGATCTTTTGTGTTTGGTGATGAACAAGTGTGCCAAAATAAAGTCTGTGGTGTACTTCAAAGATGGGTGTTCAATTTGATCCATCAATAGGTTTGACAGCTCATTTTGAGTTGCGCAAAATTAAGAGCTATTTGGTATACAGACAACAAAGGTGGATGTTCAATTCATTTGATGGCTTTGAACCGAAACATTGCGTAAAAGGTAATTTGTGTGGTTTCACTGGTGCAATAGCATTTAAATGTTTGTGCTTGGTTTACACACTGCTTTACAATTTTGCTTGATGAAGTTAAGTTTATATTGTAAGACTTGATGGAATGGCTGCAAAAATTTATGCATGATGGAGAAATTTTTGCTCCTAAATTTTGAATTTTTTTTTATCATTTGAATAAAAGTTTAGCCTCTAAATTTTATTTGTCCATGTTTGTATGACTTCCTCTTCCTCGTTTTTGCTCTGGAAGAACATTCTGGATGCAGTATGTTTTGTGCCATAACAAAATTTACATACACATACAGCGACTGACGGCTGATCCTTTGGCGCATGTTTACTGACCAGCATGTATCTTTGGAAGTATTTCAATCAAAGACCATTCTAGTTTGACAACAAGACTTTGGGGAAGCAAACTGCCTGCATTTATTCAGTGCACTTTGGATGAGTATCTTAGCTTAATTCAGGTGAAAGCATGCAAAACACTTAGGCAACTTTAAAGAGAAGCTAATAACGCATTTCCGGATTGTGTGCGCCTAATGCAGGTTTGACCATACTCAACTGCTGAAAAAGAAGATATTGAAAAACCACAAAGTTGATGAGCTGTATGAATTTTCAAATGACTAAAGCTGTGATTAAAATTTTTAGACGAAAAACAGATAGGAGAATTGAGGAGAATTGAGAAGAATTTGAATGGATGCGTTTCGCTTCAGTTGATATGTTACTGTAAATAATGTTGTTTTACATTCGTCTTCACAAAGAGGACTGCCAGGATCAACATTGGACAAATGGTGGAATCAAAGACAATCATGGAGGTGTTAACACAACTGATGCATTTAGTATGTGCAGAAGCAACTTAGATTCCAATTTGTTTTAGCTTTTTGGCAAAGAAAACGACATATTATCATTCAAGTTTGATCGATACATTTATCAGCTGAAAATAACAGAAAACACACCTAAGACACTTCAGTTTGTGAACATTTTCTAGTAGACCCGCTAGTCAACCAAATCAAATTTCAAAGCCCACACCTGGAATTGAGACCCCAGAGCCTACAGTACAATTGTTTATGCCTAACTGAAGATCAGTTTTAGATCTCAACAAAGATATAAATACACCAACTGATATTGATGGAGCGGGCAAACTCTCCTTAATGCTTTGTCACATGGGGTAATGGATGGGCTAAGCTGAAGATGAAGAAGCTATCAGAACGTAAATGCAAGGGGAGGAAAATCACTGATATTGTCAGAGAAAATGAAGAACAAAACAAATGGGAAAGAAAATGATAACTGGCAAAATAGGGATTTTATTACTTGCTTTGGTTATCGGATAAGAAGTGGTATTGTGGTAACATCTCAGACAAGGATTACCTTGTGGATGTTTTCAACGGTGCCACGTCTCCTTATGTATTTATTCTATTACCATGGCAAATCAGGGCTGTCATTAAGTTTTGAGTTGCCTGTACCCTTGTTCTCCACACCGGCTGCAAACTTGTTACTTTGTGGGTGAATTCCCTTCACAACAGGCAACAGGCATCAAGGGAAAGTCAAGCATACTCAGCCATAACAGATGTTACGGTTATGGCTCTTAATGACACCCCTGCATTTTGCTCTATTTCTTAGCAATACCAGTGGGCTTTAACTTCATTTTTCGCCTTTCTAGCTTTATACATAAACGATATACTACGTGTTAAACACTCAGTTAAGTACATCAAGATTGCCAATGTTTACAGACTATCCATTTTTCAAGTTGAGTGGCTCATAGCAACTTTGATTGATCTAGTCAGTGAACTTTAAAAACAAGTCTTGGGAGAATGAATCACTTAGGTGGGGAATATAGCACAACAACTTTCTCTAGTTGTCATAATTCCTGGACTGGGCTAAAGAAATTGAACTGGTTTATGTGTACCATGGTGCCTCTTGAGCACAAAACCTCTTTTGCTTGATGAGAAACAATACCATAAAAATTCAGTTTAGTGCTTGGAAACTTATTAAATTTGTCTTAATATGGGGGAAAAGTGATTATACACATTTTTGTTTGTGTACAGTAATAAGAGTTTGTCACTTAAGAGAATGAACCTTCACAAGTGTACACACACCAAAACAATAGTTGAGTGTGGTCGCTTACCAGAGCTTTTAGCCTAAGAACTTTGTACCTCAGTCTCAGGGAAACCCTCTTTCACGAGCCATAAATCAATTTGAACTTTTAAATCAACAAGTGCTAAAATTGCATGCGATCAAGTACTCAATAGTTTTTTTAGAGTGTTCGCAAATCAGTCAGAGTTGCTTGTGAGAGCTTAAACACAAAGGAAACAACCAGTTGGTAATTCCCAAAGTGGTCAGTTATGGGAACAGTGGTTTATGAGAGTGTTCAAATACAGAGTTTGGGTGACGTTTCAAATGGGGCTTCCCAATGGTGGTCATAACTAGAGCTTGAGAGAGAGGTCACTAGGAGAGCCTTCACTGTATCTGCCCCAAACAACTACCTTTGTAGAACTTGACAAAATCTAAAACTTTGTGTGCTTTCTGCCAAAAACATCACTGATTGATGGGGAAGTGACTGTTGTAAACAAAACAGCCTTTCGCTAGACCTAAATTTAAATTAGTCTTTTTCATTTTCCAGCTTTTTGGACAGGGTGGACACAGTCAAGCAGGCAGACTACTTGCCAGTAGAACAGGTACACTGGGTTATAAATTTAACTATGTACTACTTGTCTCTAAAGCTATAACCCCATAAAAGTATCACCTTTTGAGTGATGAATGGCAATAAAAATAGCAGGGGATTGCTACAAATGTCTTCCATTCTCTAGCAGAGAACTTCCTAAAGGGCATTTTCATGGCAGCGGTGCTGTGTTCCAATCGTTAACAATAGGAAATGTTGGCAGATAGCTAGAATGTATTTTCCAATGGAGAAGCATTTTGCTGTTTGGGAACTCAGATATGCTGCTGTGATGGGATGCGAGTGTTTGAGGAAATGACATCACCCTTCATGACTTAAAGGGCCCTAGTCAACCATACCTTTGCTTAAAAATGTTTACATACAAGAGTTTGCCTAGTATATTTTATTCAGAGCATGTTGAAATGATAGAAATCACTCTGAATCTACTAAGGATAATTAAACGTACTTTCAGGAACACAACTTACAGTAAAGCAATAAGATTTTGCTTTACCATGCAATATCAATAATTTTGATGACGTCGAAAATGGCAGAGGCTGACCAGGGACCTTTAATGTCTGTTGTTGCTCATTATGTCACTTACTGTTAAACTTATGAAACTGTGAGCACCTAAAATATGTCTGGAATGTTTATTGTGTTATGACCAATCAAAAACAAGATCTTCTTACCCAGTTTTAAAACTGCTACATTGATGGCTTTTATTATATGGCAAACTGGTTAAGAATGAAAAGGAGACTTCTGGTTGGTTCCTTGAACGGTGCAAATTTTGACAAACCTGGATTAGTTTCCATACACTTTTTAAAAAGAACTTGGGCAATATTTCCCCAATACAGACGTTTCACTAGTTCAATAACATAGTCTAAGAATCTAGAGGTGCAGCAGTACTCCTTACCATCACCATCCTGGCCAGGACCTGAAGAACATCAAAGTCATTACACCAGTCTAAAGAGAACTATATTTTGGGTTGGAAACTGCATAAATATACCCTTCTACTCAGGGTAGGAACCAGAAGTGAAAAGAGTAACCAAACATAATGGCTTAGATCTGTACATATAAGTGTCGAAAGCCACTGGCAACCTTGGTAGTTCGATTTTACATTACCTTGTTACCACAGTTTGCTAATTTACTTACTAACCCATAAAGGTACAGTAGAGTTATATATCCCAGAAAATTGTTCCTTTCAGGATCTGCTCAGGTGTCGTGTACTGACATCAGGAATCATTGAAACAAGATTTCAAGTTGACAAAGTGAAGTTTCAGTAAGTGCTGTTTTGTTTTGTTCTTTGGTGGTTACCAAAAGGTTCCTGGCATAGAAGCACATCACTGAGCCTTTCAATAACACATGGACTCTGAAATTCAAAACCTAACTAATGATTGCGTCAATCATAATTTTGACAACGACCAATAAACTTTGAAAGAGTTCTTCTTTGGAAGTTTTTCTTTGGTTGGCACTGAAAGGTTCCCGACATAGAAACACATTACTATGCCTTTCAATAACATACCGACTCTGAAGTTCAAAACTTAATGTAACAAATGTGTTTTTGGCTGCTGTCAATCACAATATTGACAACAACCAATAAACCTTGAAAAAAAGAAACAAAATGGATCAGTAGCCACAGATGTGACCCACGAAGTAAACTTTTAATCTGTTTCCTGAGAGGTATGCTATAATGATTGACGGCGGCATAACAGTAAACCATTGATTGACCAGAGTTTGCGTGTTATTGAAAGGTGCAGTGCAATACAGGTCAGAGGGGAGCGCCCATTGTACAATGTAAAATAAGTAAAATGCCCAAATGTTTTCACATTTGCGCATTTCAAAAAGCATGTGTATGCTTGTGTTTCTACTGCATATTTTTGCTATTGTTATAAGTCTGCATGCAAGCCAAATAGTCCATCAGGTTGGCGCTTATCTCTGGTGTCTGTAGCATGAAGCAACCAGGAGTATTTCTAATCCTCCCCCCCTGGAGATGCTAGTTCATTGCAGGGTTAGCCCCCAGCATTAAATTTGCTGTTACCCATTTAGACACCTGGGTAGAAAGAGGACACAACACAATGTCCCTGGCCAGGGCTTGAACCCAGACTGTTCAATCCAGAGGGAGGTGCACTAACTCTGATGCTCAACAGGGACAGATCCAGGAATTCCTGAAAGTGGGAGTTTACACTGTAATAACTTTTGATGCCGTCGGCGTGGATGATGAGCGCTGCAGGGGTGAGCTTCTAGGAGGGACTGGGGCCATGCCCCCCCCAGAAATGTTTTTGATTGTGACTTCTAAAACAACATTTCCAGCATTCCTGATGCTTGAAAAGCATTTTTGAAGGCGTCATATAAAATCTGGTGTTTCTCTCTTATCAACTAGTAAACCAAAAATAATGATGCATTCACAAAGTGTTCATTATCTTTTCCATTTAATGAATTGGTGGAAGTGAAACAACTAGGTGTAAAACAATTTTGTTGTATTATTTTATGGCAAGCCAAACAAATACCAAAACAAACATGCTGCCAATTGGGNGGGGGGGGGGGGGTGTTGCAACCCCCCTCAACTCCTTCAAGCCTCCACGCTATTGTTATACGCTACCATAGATCTGCTGTTTGCCATGGTTTTGTAAATTCCCAAGTTATCACATGCTAAATAAGGAGAACATCGGCAAAAATTTTGCAAGTTCCACATTTTGGCAGTGGTCACATCAAACCAACATGTTTTAACCAAAAAATTGGCCGATTGACATATCGGTTAGTCACAGACCCGTCTAAATGCGTTCTTCACAAGAGAAAATGAAACATCAAGGGTGCCAATTATGCAAGAATGGTTAATTTGCCTTCTTTTCTTTTCCATTTGAGTGGCTGCCGCTTACGCTACTTGCACTGGCTCCCATATTTGTTGTCAAAGGAGACTTGTTTCTCTGAGGTCATTTGTTCTTGATATTGCAGCCAGTAGTCAGACCGAGGGAACAAGTCAAAAACATTTAAATAATAGCGCCTCCTCATTTCATTTCCTTGTTTGAGGAATAACTGTGAAAAGGGTCAGATGGACCAGGTTAAAAAATGATTTTAACCAGCCATCCAATGTGCCAAACTGGACTAGCCGACCAAAGTTATTTTGCTGCCGTAATTTTATCCAGAAATACTTAAAGGAATATGACAGTTAAATAAAATAAAATTGTTTGCTTTGCCAAAATTTGGAAGCCTCCAAGGCAGCACTTCTACTTCTTTGAAGATTGGCAAAATTTTGGCAATCCGCAAAAATTTGGAAAGTTTGTGAAACTGGGGGTCGCACTTAAGTTATGCTACTTGTTGACAGATTTATTACTTATATAATAACGATAACCTTTATTAAGGTGGTCAAATATATTTAGCTAAATAGCTACTTTACAGACATCCCACGAAATAAAAATAGCAACAAAAATCTATTTAAAGTATATTTACAATTCAAAATAACAATGGTCATATAATTATTTACAATCATCTTATATTACTAAATTATTTAAGTTGTATAGAAAAGACGCGTATTTACATAATTTAAATGTGAGATTTAAAAAATCCAGCTTTGAAATCAAGTTCTTAAATGTTCTGATTTTGTTAGCGGCACGAATTTTGTCAGGAGGAGTGTTTCAAATCTTTATTTAACTTGGTCAAATGCGCTTAGCTAAATAACTACTTTACAGACATGCAACGAAATAAAAATAGCAACAAAAATCTATATAAAGTATATTTACAAAATTGGTTCTGATGTGACCCAGCCCATATAAACATAATGAAGTTTCTCTGTATGATCAAGCTACTTGGGTCATGAAACTTTTCTTGATCACTCAAGTAATTAGGGTTCCATCACCGTTAACACACACTGCCTCATTGCTGTCTTTAAGTTTTGAGTCAGCTGTTGCTTTAATCTTCACACCCATGGATAACAATCTTGATGTGAAGTATATATGAAATAATTCATATTTGAACTGCGGTTGTAGATGAAAGTGAAGAATGATCATCGCAGTAAATTTTCAAATTTAAGCA